TGAGATGTGCTCACCCTAGCTCGTTCAAGGTGATGAAGGACCGGTAGTTGAGTTTTCGCACAAGTATATTAATAGCCCATACAGTTCCATTGAATTTCACAAAGCTTTGCCACCTAAAAGTTATTCTCATCCCCGGTGGACTCTAGTTTCGACATTACCTAGGTCTTTCCCACCTCCTCCACAGCGGGACTGGATCCATGACAGTGTTGCGTACAACTTCGACACGTTAATCATTAAGCAACCCTGCTATGAGTGCCCTTAGCTCACAGAGTAGATGTGAATTTCAAGGAAGCCCAGGTATTTTGCTAAGGCATATTATGTGATGGGATTGTTGATGAAGTAAAGTAATGTGTTATAATAATAGGCTAGATTGTATAGTATAGAAAAGGCCACACCAACCTCGTCTTCATATAATCTACTCGATTACTTATTCTTAAGGAGACTACCAATAATGCAGATTAAGGCAATGTGTCATCCTATTTCGTTAAAGTGATGAAGGACTGGTAGTTGAATTTTCCCACAATAATATGGTAAGTTCTTCAAGTGTGGCCGAAGGAGGAATTCTTAAGGGTGGCGAATTCGAATCGTCGAAGGCGTTTCCAAGATGCGTCAACATCAAGCGGCATGACCTGATTAAGATAGACCAAACAGGAGTGTTTCACACGTCCCGAGTAATGAGCATAGGCCCTCCAATCCGGCCTGCCAACTGGCCAAGTTTGCCGGTTAGTCTGACACAGTGTAAATGCACGGTGGACAACAGACATACACATACTCTGCTCAGACATACACAAACGAACGGTAGCAGATGGGTGAACTCACACGACATGTATCATGTGGCCAAGGCCAGCAGCACACCCCGAATTGGCTCGAGGGGAAGGGCAGTCAGAGTGTCGGTGTTGCTGCCGCTACCGGCTGCGTCTGATTGGCTTCACAAAGGCCTCTGGGTGAGGCTAAATTGCCACGCGCACACGCATGATTCGGCCGATTTAGCAACCATGCCTCAACCGGATGACCTTCGCTTTCATCGCAGTCTTCTCATAACATGTCCGCCAAAGTGCTGTACAGCTTGAACTCTAGCCCTCTATTTTCGTCTCTCTCTTTTTCTCACCTTCTCTCTACATGTCTCTCTTTGTCCTGGTAACCATACTATAAATGAGTCTTGAATACCTCCTCCTCCTAACGGACTTACAACAATTTTCCACCTCTTTACCATCGCCCTCTCTCCTATTCAACGTGTGACAGGACGCGTTTGCTAACTCCTTTCCTCGTCCTCTCTCTCACTCTCTTTGCCTGTCTCTCTAGGCCGCCCATTACCATTCCATACCGGCCAAAACGCCTAGGACATTTCCGTTTTCTGACAGATCTGTAGGTAGACAGCAACTGGTCTCGCTCATCTGCAACGCTGCTGGACAAATAGACAGGCTACAGGAAGCTGGAGATCATCGTGCGCATCTTGTATAATTCGCCTGGAGCGCACTGTACGACCGCAAGTCCACTTGTATCTCTGCGTCTTAGTGCTGCCCTCTGGCTCCTGCCTCGGTACAGGTACGAGAATCACGTCTTGACGACGTCAAACGACCGCATTCACGGGGCCTCGAGAGAACTATATAATACCGTCCTGACGCATTCACTCTCCGCATGTTTGTCACCCTACCCTCCTGTTACCCTGTTTATAATTGCAACTTCCATCCTGCCACACGGCGGCAGATTTGTTCCCAAACGGACTTATGATCTCGGAAGCCATGAGCACATTACCTAGACCCCCTCCCCACTTTGTAGATCGCCAAAGCCTAGAGATTGCGCCACATCAATTGGTTGCCCAGGTCCTGTCCAGCCATCCGGCAACGTTCCCGCTGCCAATGCACCACATCTCCGGACTCGACCAAAGTCATCTGGACCAGACAGGCCTGACGGGATTCACGCCCTGGCATTCCAGTCTGCCGAGTTTGATGCAACATCTCTATCCGCTTTTGGCAGCGGCGGCCGCCGCAAATGGAGCCGGTCCCTCTGGCCTCGAGACGAATGAGAATGGGATTAGATCTTGGCCAGTTGGACTGTCCGGGGTCGACCAACTGAGCAGTGGATTGAATGACTTGACACCATACGCAAAAAACGTGTCGTCAGGACGACTGCCTGGAGATTGGCATGCGGCGAGGTTCGGACATGGAGCAACTGGATGCGATGACTTCGCGCCCGAGGTTCATACCCAGCCGCGTATCTACACCAGCAGTAGCGGACAAAGGTCAAAACCCGCTCGACTTCGAGATGAATCCAAGTCCAATTCGACCGGTAGGTGAAAAGCCTTTAGCTTTCATCGAAATTTCTCTAATTTGATTCATAGACAGTAAACCTCTAGATGAAATAAACAATAGATTTTAGTAAAATCTAGCCTATCAATTCACAATAATGTAGGCAAAATGACTTTTATTTAGAATAAAAGTGATTGAAGAGATGCTCTGGTTGATCTCACCGTTTATCTGCAGCCATTTAGCTTTAGCACGAAGTAAATGTCGACGCAGTCCACAACACACTCCCTCGTTTCGGACGAAACCGGGCTGAGCATTCATCCTTCAAACGACTGGCATCATCAAAACTGGGACCGATGCTTACCAAGTAAAAGTGTTCTGATTACTGTAAAAGAGAATTAAGCAAATCATTTATATATCCATCTATATATTTCCTTTAATAGTTATGAGTAGGTATGGCATATATAAAGGATCCAGATAGTTCTCTTGACTATTTTAAGGTATAATAACAGCTCTGATTATGTCCGGGTGAAAGCATAGCGGCGGCAAAACAACGGAAATCTGCTGCCGTATTACGATGAGGTCAAACAAGGCATTTTCACATGAACTTGAACTCTTAATATCAAAGTTATCTTAAGAGATTAATCCAAAGTAAACTTCCCTTCATATCTATAACGTTATATGGCTCAAACCGCTTCAGCAAACAATGTGAGATTGAATTTTTTAAACTACTTGCTGGTTCTTTCGAAAGTATGAAGACAAAGATGGTGTGGCCTTTTTTGTGGTCGCAGTCTCCTTTCATTGTATAGAAGTTGTTTGACCTTGTTTTCG